TGGGCGGGGGGGAGCCACAGCGCCCCGCCCCGCTGTCCCGGCCACTCCTGAGGGCCTCACCTGCGAAGGTACCCAGCCCGCGGCCCGCCCACCTCCTGCACAGTGTAAGGTGCTACCTGCCCCTGTCTATCTTTAGAACATTTGTTCTACTTTCGCCTGAATCCAAGGACACAGTGCATGGTGGGCAATGTTAAAAGATAAGAAAAACAAAATGAAATCCAACATTTTAATTTTGATATAAATTATGTAAATATTTTCCAGAAGTATCTAAAATATTCCACTGTACAACATACCAAAATGGTGTCTGAGAAGCTAAATGCAAACTGTAAATAAGGCACAAATTTTATTTATACTCATAATTGCATCCTAAATTGTTTTATAAATCACATTTACAACACCCCATAAAGTCTGAATATTCTGGATTACTCCTTCACATTTTCTGATATTTAAGCACGACATTCAAAAACATACTTCACAACATGGCCTCTCCTCCCTAAACCATTCACAAGATTAAATAAATACTAATTACTGAGTACTTGAGACCTGTTTTACTTCAAGATGACAGAAGTCAGCTGCTTGTAATGGAAACTATAAGAACTGAGCAATTAACCAAAGTGTGTTAATGCTGTTCAAGTACCACTGGATAAGTCTCTCAGGTAGCAATTTGATTGGCAGGCTGTTTTCTATGTCTCATCACTGTCATAGTCCTCTATCACTATGTCTTCTTCCTCTTCTTCCTCCATGTCCACTTTGGAGGAAAAGGGCTGAGGCTGGCTGGCAGGCAGGTCACTCCCACTGTTCTGACTCAAAGGAAGAGACCAGGTTTCTGGGTCAGCAGTCTGAGAGGCTTCACCCTGAGCTTCCTGTACAGGCGGTCCTCCATTATGCTGCAGTTCATCCCCACTGTCAGGGTCAATCAGCTCTCGGTCACTCAGGGCTTCCATTTTCAACCTGTGGGATTCACAGCACAGACATCAACGGTAACCAAAAAGGAGAGTTCTTTAAACTGCAGCCTAAGTGGTCTTTCCACTTACACAAAATGCAAGGTGAATAAACCCTACTGCTTACAAGAGGGTAATGTCTTCGGCAAAGTTCCTACAGACTAGTATTTACATATTCATTAAAAATGAACAGAAAACAGAAATATCAGGAAAAATGAATGGGACTACATAAATTGTTAAACTTAATTTGTAATTTTAAAAATAGAAACTAAAGCTGAGCATGGTGCTCACACCTTTAATCCCAGCACTCAGGAGGCAAAGGCATGCATTGGATCTCTGAGTTCCAGGCCAGCCAAAACTACATAAAGAGACCCTGCCTCAAAACAAAAACAAAAACAAACAAACAAACAAACAGAAAACTGAACCTAAACTAAAAGAATGAACTTCAGCCAGGGTGGTGGCAGAGCCTATATTGCTAGCACTTGGGAGACTACACAAGAGAATGTGAAGTCAGAGTCTAGCCTCAGCTACATAGTAAGACCCCACCTCAAGACAACACAGCTACTATTATTTTTATTTCCTATTGTTACATGCTAGAAACTAGAAAGATACTTTAATTTTTTTATTTTTATTTTATGTTTACAGGAAGTATAGTTACAGTACTAGTTACAGTAACAGGCAGTTATGAGTTGCCTGTCATGGGTGTCATGGGTGCTGGGAACCAAATTCAGATCCTAGAGGAATAAATAGTCTGTACTCTCAACCAGTGAACCGACATCTCGGAAGCCCTAGTTCTTTTTTTCTTAAATAATCAATCAATCAATCAATCAATCAATCAATCAATCAGAGTCAGGGTCTATCTTCAAAGCTGTGAGTATATAGACTAGGCTGGTCCTTGAGCTCATAGTGATCCACCTGCGTATATCTTCTGAATGCTGGAATTAAAGGTATGTGCCACCATATCTCCAGCTGTTTTGTACTTTATGGACATTTACTGACTGTCTGCAAACACATTCAGTGGACATTTCAGTAAGAGTTCTTTAGGAATTAAGATGATCGATCGGCTTACCTTCCAAAGTTTCTCTTCAAAGGAAGTCTTCCAATATCTTGGATAAAAGAAATCTGAGCTGAAAAGACATTTTAACAAAGTTTTAAATACCATCATTTAAAAATTTACTTTTGGCCGGCGTTGGTGGTGCACGCCTTTAATCCCAGCATTAGGGAGGCAGAGACAGGTGGATCTCTGTGAGCTCGAGGCCAGCCTGGTCTCCAGAGCAAGTGCCAGGATAGGCTCCAAAGCTACACAGAGAAACCCTGTCTCGAAAAACAAAACAAAACAAAACAAATTACTTTTGCTGGACTTTTACTTTTTACTTTAAAAAGGCATGTTTGAATACACTAGTATTTATAATAGCATGTATTGATGATATAAGCTGGGTATTCCTGTGTCATTAATGTGCACATATATACATGTAGGCAAAACATTTAAACTCATTAAAACAAAAAGACTAATATACATATATTGAATACGTACATGTAAGTAGGGCTGGGGTAATAATGCAGTTAATAATGTTTGCCTTGCAGTCATTAAGACCAGAGGTTCAATCCCAAGAATTTATATTTTTAAAAAGGCACATGTAAGCTGGGCGTTGGTGGCACACGCCTTTAATCCCAGCACTCGGGAGGCAGAGGCAGGAGGATCTCTGTGAGTTCGAGGCCAGCCTGGTCTCCAGAGTGAGTGCCAGGATAGGCTCCAAAGCTACACAGAGAAACCCTGTCTCGGAAAAAAAAAAAAAAAAGGCACATGTAGCTGGGCATTGGTGTTATATGCCTTTAATCCCAGTACTCTGTAGGCAGATGCAGGTGGATCACTGTGAGTTCAAGGCCAATCTGGTCTATAGAGTGAGTAACAGGCCAGCCAAGACTACACAGAGAAACAAAAAAACAAACAAAAAAAGGAAATGTTGGACAGTAGCTGAGGAACAACACCTGAGGTTGACTTCTATGTGCTTGTGCACACACTGACACACATACATAAAAAATACACATGTATACATTGAATACATAAGCAAATACATTTAGAAAACTGGCAGGTAATTTCATTGCTTAAAGGGGATAATTTCAGTGGTACAGCACTCGCTTAGATTGCACAAAAAGGCCCTAAATTTGATTCCAAACACTTGTTTGTTTGTTTTTTTTAAGATTTTATTTATTTATTATGTATACAACATTCTGCTTCCATGTGTATCTGCACACCAGAAGAGGGCACCAGATCTCATAACAGATGGTTGTGGGCCACCATGTGGTTGCTGGAAATTGAACTCAGGACCTCTGGAAGAGCAGTCAGTGCTCTTAACCTCTGAGCCATCTCTCCAGGCCCCGATTCTAAGCACTTGTAATCAAAGAAAAACAAGCCTGCCCTCCAGCCCCCTCAAAACAGTAACGACCACAACAGACAGATATGGAAAGGACAAAGGTGAGACTAAACTCAGTAGGGCTAGGTAGAAACTGAGTGTTCTACTGTGGACTTACGTTATACACACAGATTTGTCTAGCTTCGTTTTACTGACAACACTTAGAAATGACACTGGGTTTTCAGAGAGATGGCTCAACTGTTAAGTATGTTTACAGCAGAGGACCCAAACTGGGTTCCCAACATCAAGCAAGTCACAACCACCTGTAATTCCAGCTCTTTCTGCCCTCTGCTGGCATTTGCACATAACCACACACACACACACACACACACACACACAAACACACACACACAACTAAAAAACAGTAATGAAAAGAAATAAAACAGTTATCCCCCTATAAACTAATGCATCATCCACGTGGATGCTGTAAATAATAGGTAACAAGTACTCTGTAGGAAAGAAAACACATTACCTTTATTTCGCATTGGAATGGTCAGCAGAGCAAGATACGGCAAGAGCTGAGTCTGAAGACACAAAGCTGGTAGGCAGAAGTCAAAAAAGAGTGCTTTTGCTGCCAGGCAATTTTCCCGATACTGTATGGGGAAAAAGACAAGGGAAATAAAATTCTAAGGATGGTTATACGTGTGGCATGGTGGTACATAAATTAATCCCAGCACTCAAGAGGCAGAGGCAGGCAGATCTTTGTAAGTTTGAGGCCAGCCTGGTCTTCACAGCAAGTTCCAAGCCAGCCAGAGCCACATAGTGAATGAAATACTCTTTCAAACAAATTCCAGTTCTAGCTGTATGTAAGGTTCAATAATGCTTTGGGTATGGTTTATTTTGGTGTGTGATATTTTTATTTATTAGTAAATTTATTAATAAAGTTTAATAAAAAATTAAAAAACAAATCTTCCAAATCAAACAAAATGGTTATGAATTCATAGATAAAATTTATTATACCACAAAGACTAACTCTATGTAGAATAAAGATACTTTGTTTGTTTGTTTTCTCTGTGACTTTGAAGGCTGTGCTGGAACTCGATCTAGGCTGGCCTCGAACTCACAGAGATCCCCCTGCCTCTGCCTCTGCCTCTGCCTCCCTAGTGCTGGGATTAAAGGTGTACGCCACCAATACCCAGCAGAGATACTTTCTTTTTTATACAACCTGGTTTCCTGGTTTTATACAGGCTGGTTTCCAACTTGTAATCCTCCCAATTCCACCTTCTGAGTGTACAAATACACTTTACAGAATTTATCTGGGGCTGGAGAGATGTAACGGTGTTGCTAAGTCTGTGACCTGACCTGAAATCCTTGAGTCCATGTGTAGGAGACTCTCTCAAGTCGTCTTTGACCACTATGATCTTCTCCCCAACACACACACTCTCACTCTCTCTCTCTCACACACACAAATATAATTATTAAAAGTTATTTAAATGTCCTATCATTACTTAACAATATCATGTTACACAGCAGCCGCCTCACACATGCTTAATGTCTGACCTATTATTATGTAATTTGACTTGTTTGATGAGAATACCTATAATGATTACACAGTGATAAAACAGTAAAGTTCTTAGGCTGTATCTCTATTCCAAGTAATGTATGACTGTGCATTACTATAACCAGGGTAGTTGTGGGGTAGTGCAACAAACCTCAAATACACTGCTCCTTACTGAAATTTGTATCCTGAGGTTTAATTTTTTGTTTATCTAATTTTAGATTTTATACATAGGGTCTCCTCATAGACTTCAGCGTTGTACTCAAAGTTGTAATTATTTTGCCTCAGCTTCTCCAGTGCTAGGATAATATGTATAAGTTACCATACCACACCGAACACTATGTTATTTCTTTCTCTCTGTCTCTCTGTCTCTCTGTCTCTCTCTCTCTGTGTGTGTGTGTGTGTATGTGTGTGGTTTTCTTGTTTGTTTGCTTGTCTGTTTTATAGATAAGTTCTCTCTATGTAGCCTAGGCTGGCCTTGAACTCACAAAGGTCCTCCTGCCTCTGCTACTTGAGATCTGGAATTGAAGGCATGAGCCACCACACCTACCTGTTATTTCTTAACTCTAAAAAAACTGTGATGTTTAGGAGCTATCTTACTAAGAAGGAACCATGTATGTATGTATGTGCATGTGTATATGTATGTGTGTGTATACATATATGTGTGTGTGTGTATACATACATATAGGGACTTTTTTTAGTTGTTAAAAAGTAAGCTTAGCAAGGCAGCATAGGGTAGAAGGATCAAGAGTTGTTCAGGGACAGCCAGTGATACACAAGACTCTTAATTAAAAACCAAACTAAACAAAAGAAACTCCAGCTTTGAGATACAATTACACATGACAAAATTCATAGTATATACTCAAGATCCTCTAACTAGCCAGCAGTGCTGACTGAGATTAAATGTACTTTTTTTTTTTTTTTTTTTTTTACCTTTTTGTGTATTAGAAACCACTGAGGTTTATGTAGGGGTCGAAAGCTTGATCCTCCTCCTTGGCAGTGAGCGAATCCCCGGGATTTATTGGAATGCATCACACCTCTTGTAGCTACAGATGTACTATATTCCCTGAGTATAGAGCGTGTCTAGCAAGTGAGACAAGATGTGAAACAACACATGAAATACTATTGTTGGTAGCACCAACACAAATTAAGACTGCATATACTTAAGTTACTTTGCATATGTTTCCCAGTATCATCAAAGCCTTAAAAATATTGCTATAAAATTACTTACACTCAACTGAGACATAGGGATCAAATGCACTGGGTGAACTACTGAGTAGGGTCTTTGGTAGGGTTGGGAGAAACAACATTTTGGGGCAACTAGAAAATAATGCTAACAGCCAGGAGGTGGTACACACCTTTAATCCTAGCATTAAGGAGGCAGAGGCAGTCCAATCTCTTGAGTTTGAGGCCAGTCTGGTCTACAGAGCAAGTTCACAGGCAGAGGTATACAGAGAAACCCTGTCTTAAAAAAACAAACAAACAAAAGAAAATAATGGTAATGTATTACTAAACTATTTTTGTCTTGTTGCTTTTTCAAGACAAGGTCTCCTGGGTAAGCCAGGCTAGTCTGAACCTGATACCTCCTGCATCATCTTCACTAAATTCATAGAAACTAAATTAACAGCAACTTGATCAGGCCAATGTAGCAAAGTAGAAAAAAGTAAACAAAGGTTAAGAGTATGCAGGTTCTCAATGTACTGCTTTTCAACTATAGATTTGAAATCTTCAAAATAAAAAACAGCAGCTCTGTGCAGACATGATAATGATAAAAACTGAAGGTGATGGATATGCTGACTACTGAGTTGATCACAACTCAATGCATACAAGAATCAGAACATCACACTGTGCCTCCTATATGTGCAAATACTACGTGGTAATCACAAAGTTTTACAAATAATTATTTGTTAAAAACTAAGTGAAGGAAAAGTTAGTAACCATTCATTTTTAACATCTTTTTTTAGGTTTTTTGTTGTCTCTCTCTCTCTCTCTCTTTGGTTTTTTGAGACATGGTTTCTCTGTATTGTTTTGGAACCTGTCCTGGAACTGGGTCTGTAGACCAGGCTGACCTCAAAACTCACAGAGATCCCTCTGCCTCTGCCTCCCAAGTGCTGGGATTAAAGACATACGCCACCAACGCCCGGGTGTTTTTTTTATTTTTTCAAGACAGGGTTTCTCTGTGTAGCCCTGGCTGTCCTGGAACTCACTTTGTTGACCAGGCTGGTCTTCAAATCAGAGATCCTCCTGCCTCTGTCACCCAAGAACTGGATTAAAGGCATGTGCCGCCAACACCTAGCTTTTAACTTTAATTACTAATGCTAATGCTATATTTATAACTAGAAAAATACTGATTTATCAGACCAGTGCTGTCCAACTGAATTTCTTACAAGGATGGAAATGTTTTATAGATGGGCTGTTCAAAATAGTAGGTTAGCCATATGAGGCTATTAAGTACTAGAAATGCAGTTAGTGTGACTGAGGAACTGAATTTTAAAATTAGATTAAGTAGCTGTTGTACTCTCAGAATACTATTAAGACTATGAAAAAATAAATAAGACATTTTGGCACAGGCTAATGGACATGCCTGTTGTCTGAGATACTAGGCAGGTTGAGGTAAAAGATCACCTGAGTCCTGGAGTTTGAGACCAACCTAAGCAACACAGCAAGGTCTTATTTCAAAAACCTAAAAGGGATGGGGAAATAGAGGAGCAGGAGAAAGCACTTGTCAAGTAAACTTGATGACCTGAGTTTGATCCCTGGAATCTACAAAGAAGTGGAAAGAGCACCAACTCCTCAGTTGTCCTCTGACATCCACCCACCCCATGTGATTTAGAAGGAAATTAAAGATCACTGTTTTTGGTGCAGGGGATCAAACCTAGGGCTTTGTGGCCTAAGTATGTGCTTTATCACTGAGTCACACAGCCCATATGCATTTTATAGTTATTTTAAAAACATAAAAATTTGTTTTAATTTTCAATAACTGCCACATTTTCTGAGCACAGACCTCATCACTTAAGGGTATTTGTTGCTCCTCCTCCAGAGGATTTGAGTCTGGTTCCTAGCACCCAGGTCAGATGGTTCAGAACTGTCTGTAACTCCAGTCCCAGGGTGCACATATACACACATCTACACATAATTAAAAATAAGTCTTTTTAAAAATGTTCTGAGTATATGTTAATTTTAAAATTAGCAGAGGCTGGAGAGATAGCTCAGTGTTAAGAGCACGTGTTGCCCTTGTAGAAGAACTAGGTTTGATTCCTAACACCCACATGATGGTTCACAACCATCTATTACTCCAGCTCCAGGGGATTCAACATCCTCTTTTGACCTCCATGAACATCAGGCACCTATGTGGTGTACATATAGAGATACACACTCATACACATAAAATAAATAATAGGAGTTAGAAAAAAACATCAGAAAAAATTAGTGCCATAATTATTATTAGAAAAATCAAATAACCTCAGACTGTTTTATAAACACTGGATTGAATAATTAGATTTAGTACAGTAGGTAAAAGTCACAACATACATGAAATAGAGATAAATTCCAACTTTACCTGGAGAAATAAAAAACATACAAAAATATTTAAGTCAAATGATCTTACATTCCAGTCACCACCGAGGACATCTGCAAAGCTTAGAAACTCACTGGCTCTCACAAGATCATCTACTTCCATGAAGAAATCTACGTAGTTTTGGTGAAGGTATAAATTAAAAAAGTCTCCAGGCATATGTGACATTTCTACTATTTCCTATAAAAAGAGGCATAAATATATAAATTTTGGTGCAAATGCAGTGAGAAGATGTTTAAGCACATATATAACACATATTAAGCCAAGTGTTACAAAAGTCCTTACCTCAGGCTGAACAAGTAACATATCCCGTTCATGCTCTGACAAGTGGGCAGGCAAGGGAGCGTAGTCTAATTCTGTTAAAGGTGCTCCTATAAGAAAACTTCTGGGATTACTAAAGTAAATGCCATCTTTACAATCACAGCACTTTCATATGCTGATTTTTAATACTTTAGGTACATTCATTTCAAAACACTAAGGAAGCTGTTAAAAATTAAAAACAAAACAAGTGAGTTTGACTACTTTACCACTACTAACAAGGGCAAAATTCAGAATTCTGATGATTGGATATTAGCTTTTTTGTTTGTTTGTTTGCTCTTTTGTTTTTCCAAACAGGGTTTCTCTGTGTAACAACCCTTGCTGTCCTGGAACTAGCTCTGTAGACCGGGCTGGCCTCAAATTCACAGAAATCCACCTGCCTCTGCCTCCCAAGTGCTGGGATTAAAGGTTTGTGCCATGACAACAGCACAACTGGATTGTAGCTTTCCTGAACTTAAAATCTGACACGTCTCAAAGTACTTCCCATTTCATCTTTCATCTCTGGGCTGTTTTCCCCCTTTGCCTGGTCTCAATACGGAAGGCTAAAGTGTTGTATTTACTGTGTAGGAAGAGGCTGTTGTACCTTCAGGAGCAGGAAAGCTATGCCCAATGTAGAGGCTAGACATGAACACTGGGAAGGAAGAAATAGTGGAAGAAAGGCATTAGGTGAGAATGGACACTGAGGTTGGAAGATGAGATGCCCCAGAGGCAGATGAGTATTTTCACCTGACTTTCCTTACATGGCATTTCTACTTTGAAATCACAGTTTCTTCCTTCAGAATCACATTGGTATTTACTATATAAAGAACAGAAGTTTGGAATTTTACTGAAAGGAGGGAAAGCTTGGGAGGGTAGGGATGGAAAGGCTAAAGGGAACAAACAATACAGAAGACAATGAGAGCAAAGGACATGTGTGGTTATGAAGACAGCAAGTTATTGAAGAGGAGACAAAGAAACCTGAAGCTACTTGGTACCTGGCCTAGGATCCCAGTATTTGGAACTGAGTATTACATTAGCTTTGGGCTACTTCTTTTACCACTCAACCTTCTTAATACTGTGATCCTTTAATGCAGTTTCTCATGTTGTGGTGACCCCAACCATAAAATTATTTAATTGCCCCTTCATAACTGTAGTTCTGCTATTGTTATGAATCATAATGTAAATTTTGTGTTTTCCGATGGTCTTGGGCGACCACCAAGAAAGGGTCATTTCCCACAGGTTGAGAACGGCTGGTCTGGATAGACAGGTGTACTCAGGAAACTATAATTTACAGACATGTATATGGTCTAGAGGAGTGGTTTATGTTTACTGTAGTTGGAAAATGCTCCACATAGGTGAAAACAATTTCCTGCTATATCTTAGCACTGGCTCTGCAGTGTGTGGTAGGGACCCCATCTCCTTACATTAACAACGCAAACACACAGTACCTTATTTCTTAAATGAGAGTACTACACATAAAGAAAAGATACAGAAACATTTCTTACTTTTAGAGTACAGAATTTTCCCCAGAGCTCTGAAGAGAAAGAGAGAAGCATCTTTTCCACCAATAGCTTGGATCTCTTGATTTTCCAAAGCATTATTATGTTTCTTTCTTGGTTTTGATTTTGATCTCTCAGCATCCGACTTCAATGACGTTCTTTTTTTCTTTGACCATAAACTGCTCTCTCCTAAATAATATACATCCAAATGATATTTAAAAAAAAAATCAAAATGTGATTTCAGATAGTTGTATTGAATATTCCAACCAAAACTTTTTTCTAACAAGCAGTCACTTAATATGACCTTAGTGAAGAGTCCTCTTTGTTGCTAACTACTAAAATGGGATAAATGTCATTTAAAATGGTCTTAGGAGCTGCAAAGATGGCTCAGCAGTTAGAGTACTTGCTGCTCTTCCAGAGGATCCAGGTTTGATTCCTGGCACCCATGTGACAGCTCATAACCATCTATAACTCAAGATCAAGGAAATATGATGCCCTCTTCCGGCCTGTGGGCTCCAAGCACATGTGGTACACAGACATACATGCAGGCAAAATACCTATACACATAAAAATTTTTAAAATTGTGGGCGGTGGTGGCACACACCTTTAATCCCAGCACTCAGGAGGCAGAGGCAGGTGGATCTCTGTGAATTCCAAGCCAGCCTGGTCTACAGAGTGAGTTCTAGGACAGGCTCCAAGGCTACACAGAGAACCACCCCCCAAAAGAAAAACCCACCAGGATTTCAGATGGATTTTGAGAGAACAGATACAATCCTTTTAAATCTAATGGAGAAAATAAATCCATCAAACATATAAATTACTATGAAAAACTTCAAAAGTAAATGTAATTAGGAACAACACTAAAACCTACGAATCATGTATAGAGGTCCTCATATGTATTACGCACCGTGATAAGCATTCTACAAATACCATTTCATTTATCCTTAACACAGCCCTTATGTAAAAGGCAAGAAGATGAAAGCACAGAAAGATGTAATCATTTGCATATGCCTAGCCAAGACTTTCCTGAGCCACATTACAAATAATTAAGATGGGCTGGAGAGGGGGCTGAAGAGATGGCTCAGTGTTAAGAGAACTGGCTGCTCTCCCAGAAGACCCAGCACCCACATGGCAGCTAACAACTGTCTGTAAGTCTGATTCCAGGAGATCTGGCACTCTCACACAGGCAAAACACCACATAAAAATAAATAAATCCTAAAAAAATAAAGAAATAATTAAGAAATCTGTACATAAATAAATCATGTTTTATCTTGAAGTAGCTTTTTAAACAAGTATTTGAATGTGTGTCTGTGCGTGTGATATGTGATGTGTACATGTACATGTACTCAAGTGCACATATACACATAATTAAAATTTAAAAAAAATAATTAAATCTAAAAATACTTATTCTGTAGGGCATTTGCCAACCTGGGGGTAGAGGCAAAAAAAAGTAAAAAGTTTCAAGGTGAGACCAACTCAGAAAGTTGTCCTGACCTACATCATATACACAGAGACACTTACACCCCTACCCAACAGAGATGATTCGCTTCCCAGGATGGACAGGAGAAATTCTATTTTTTTTGGGGGGGAGGAGGGACAACAGGACGACGACACACAGGTTCTCTCTACATAGACCTGGTTGTCTTAGAACTCACTCTGTAGATCAGGCAGGCCTTGAACTCCAAGATCCGCCTACCTCTGCCTCCTGAGTGCTACTGAACTATAGGTGTATAATACCAGAATATCAGTGTAATGTAAAAATTAAAAGTTATGAATTATTCTACTTCTAGAATATTCTATTAAAAATTCCTGACAGTGCTGCCTGCAAGCAACTAAACTACAGCTAAGGAGGGACTACTTTATGTCTAGTCTAAGCTGAGAATAGACAGCTCAGTGGCAAATACCTGCCCACCATATGACAGACCTTAGGACTGATCCCCAGGCACTCCATAGAGGCTTAATCTGATGTAGCTCATGACTATTTAAGAGAAAGTCACCAATCACTACTCTATGAATGTGTCTTCCAGTTAATTACCCTTTGAAGAAGAAAACTGGAGGCTGTTTATTGCACTTCGGATATCACCAGAACACCCTTGACAGAGCAACTCCAGGGACATTTTATCAGGAACAACAACTCTTCCTCCGTTCTAAAATGAAGAGATTCAATTTTAAAACTTTTGTTAATACACAAATATACATACAACAAACTAAAACCCATTTTGAGAACTTAATATATACAAATTTGATTTTTTTGAAATTTGAATGTCTAAAAACTTGCACAGCTTAGGTATGGTAGAACATGACTACAGTCTCAGCATTTTGGATGCTAAGGCAAAAGAACCCTAAATTCTAATCCACATGGATTACCTAGGGAGATCCTTTCTCAAAAAGCAATGTTGACTGTTCATAGCCTATCCCACATCAGATCTTATAAAAACTAATTCTCATAGAACGATGCTATAATCCTACAATTTACATATTTACTTTCGTTATTAACCAAAGGTGTTTCAAAATTATTTTTCAAATGTCACTTTATTTTTTTAATTTTGTATGTGTGCGTGTGTTTTTTTTTCCCCTGCATGTATACACATATGTGCCTAGCTAGTATCCTTAGCAGTCAGAAGACAGCATCTGATCCCCTGAAACTAGAGTTACAAACAGTTGTCAGCTTCCATGTAGGTAATGGAAACTGAAGCCAGGTCTCAGGAAAAAGCAACCAGTTCTCTTAAACACTGAGATATCTCTCCAGTCCTCAGAAATTCTTTCTGAGAAATAGTTGTCTTTCCAAACCATACTTTGTCACAGAAATAACATTTAGCAAGTATCTTTCCAGACTTTCTGTGTGCATGTATCTAAATATATTCAAGATCTCTAAGTCTATGCAAACATGCAGAGTGATTGTTTTTTATTTTTTTTAAAGATTTTTATTTATTATGTATACAGTATTCTGCCTGCATGTGTGCCTGCAGGCCAGAAGGGGGCACCAGACCCCATCACAGATGGTTGGTTGTGAGTCACAATGTTTGCTGGGAATTGAACTCAGGACCTCTGGAAGAGCAGTCAGTGCTCTTAACCTCTGAGCCATCTCTCCAGCCCCTAGTTACTGGTTTTTTCTTTTGGAGATTTTGTTTTGTTTCGGTTTTTGAGACAGGGTTTCGCTGATAACAGTTCTGGCTATCCTGCAATTCTCTTTGTAGACTAGGCTGGTCTCAAATTCATGGAGATCCTACTGCCTCTACCTTCTGAGTGCTGGGATTAAAGACGTATGCCACCACCACCTGGCAGAGTTGTTTTTAACCTAGGTAGAATTATAATATTTGCTTTCTATAAGTTTAATTTCTTACCTAATAACACTGAGGTGGTTTTTATGTTAGTAACTGCAAATCTATTTCACTTTTTTAAATACTATTTAATGAAGGGCTGGCAGGATGGGTCAGTAAGTAAAGAACTTGCTGCCAAGCCTGATGATCTCAGTTCTATCCCTAGAACCTACATAGTGGAAAAAGAGAGTCAACTCCAGCAGGTTGTATTCTTTATCTCCACATGTGCCCTGTGGCACACCTGCTCTCTCCATAAACAAATATACATGAACATAAGATAAACAAAAGTGTAATAATATTTTAAATGTTACTGATATCCTTCAACAAATATTTTTCCCAATAAGGAACAATTACATTAATGTCATGGTTTTGTATACAACTTTTGGCATTTTGGCAGGTCTGGAGATTGAAACCAGAGTCTTCACAGGCCAGGCAAAGACTATACCATGAAGCTACAGTCTCTGACTTTTTCCAAGTTACACACACTTACACACAGAGAAAGAAACAGAGAATGCTAAGATGTATGTTTCTATAGCACTAGAGTGTCCTCTAAAGTGTAATCCATCAACTACTTCTCCAAGTTATATACCATGTAAGTTGTGTTTTTCACAGCTGCAATATAAGTCTTAAATTAGAGTTACCTTACTAGCTTCTATAGTCATGATTCTATTAAGAAATTTCATCATAATTGTTGGTGCCACAGGGTTGAAACTGTAAAAAGAAAAAAAGATGGTGCTTAAATGATAAATTTTAAAACACTTTAAACTGGGCAGTGATGGTGCACGTCTTTACTCCCAGCATTCAGAAGGCAGAGGCAGGCAATCTCTGAGTTAGAAGCCAGCCTGGTCTACAGAGTGAGTTCCAGTACACCATGGCTACACAGAGAAATCCTGTCTCAAAACAAAACAAAACAAAACAAAAAGAGCATAAAAACAATTTCTTACCTAATGTTTGCAATAGAACACTCCTCTTGAATCTTTTTGGGAAAGAGTAACCGCTGATTGCTATCTCCACTGACGCTGTCAGAGATTATAAATACAAGAGGACATCGGCCAATCTGCACATACTTCCTAAAATAAAGTTGAACAAAATAAAGTTGAAATTCAAGCAATTTAGCTGTTCATGCCAGGCAAACATTCTACCACTGAATATAACCCCCACCTCTAATGTGGAGTCTTAGAACATTGGACTTCACTGACACTCACCTTAGAACTTCATGTAAAGCATGAGAATCCCGATAAAACTGATTAGGTAAATCCTGTTGAACATATGGGACAAATATTAGCTCAGTGATATTCCATTGCATATTTACTTTTAAACTTATTATTTGTCAAGAAAAAAAAACATTATTATCCAATGTCTCTTGATCGCGGTTTTTTAGAGAAACTAAAGGAAATGTACTGTCATTAAGGAAGTTAACTTTCCACAGATTTCCTCTCCTTTTCTATACAGATGGCACTGCAGTTGAAAACTATGTTAACATACAGCTACTCTACATTAACATATGCTATTCTGTTTATGGTTCCTGAAAAAACCTTCAGATTTCTGCTCTCACAAAGCCACTAATAATGTATCTCACAACTGTTGACATAACAGCTCTTGCAGGATTATAAAAATTTTCCTTACTTCAACCAGAATTATCTTCCTATCAGTTGTCAGATCATCTCCAAGCATCTGCAGTTTGTTATACTTGGTGGCTCTTAACAGAAAGTCATTGAAGACTGCTATCTGAGATTGGTATGGAACTATGTAGACTTTTGATTCTGAAAAAAAAAATTATTTTATTTTCAAATTATTTATTTTCATATACATTAATATTATACATGTATTGTACACATCAAATTCACTTATATGATACAACTTATAATACTAAAGATTACCTTAAAAGTATTTGAAATGGCTTAAATTTAAATATTTCAAAAGAATAGTATGATGGACAAGAATAATTTTTCTATTCCAATGAAAGTCACACAAAGTTAACTAACTTCAAAAACAGCTTCTGGGCTCAAGAGACTTTAGTTAAAAGAGAGGACTGGGGATAATTCTTAGCACCCACATGACAATTTACAACTGCCTGTAATACCAGTTCAAGGAAAGTCAATGTTATCTTCTAGCCTTTGGTGGTCAGCAGCACATGTGATACACAGACATACATGCAGGCAAAACACTGATACAAATAAAATAAGACCCACTTGTAAAGAGAAACCCTAATTAAGAGGTTCCACTGACCACGTAACAAGGGTTTAAGTAGGAGGGAGGCACATACATGGCTCCTTTTTCTCTCTTTTGACTGGCAGAGCTGACTAGGAAGCATCTTGTGGGTCCCTCCTGCTACGGTGCAAACCTGGTCACTGACTCCGTTGAATGAGTACTATTCCTTCATAAACTACCTGTTATCAATCTATTTCTGACTCCACTTTGTAAACCTTATTGCCCACTCACTAAAAAAAAGCTGCTATGGCTTTATTGCTTTGGTCATAGAACACAGAGAAATCAAACAGGAACCAAAAAAAAAAAAAAAAAAAATGGCTAGGTGTCGGTGGCACATGCCTTTAATCCCAGCACTGAGGAGGCAGAGGCAGGGGAATCTCTATGAGTTTGAAGCCAACCTGGTCTACAGAGTAAGTTCCAGGCCAGGCTCCAAAGTAATACAGAGAAATCCTGTCTCAAAAAACCAAAATAAATAAATACATAAAATTTAATTCTCTAAGAGCCCCATTCTCCTCTCTATTTGGAACCTCTTTCACTTGCTCCTCAAACTGACAAGTATGGGAGAAAAATGTGCTCTTATTACTTGACCTGAAAGCTTCATTAAGTAACACTTTCTTTGCAACCTCCAGCATCTTCAAAGCAAAGCTTACCTAAATTAAGTAATTCCTTGTATTCATCTTTTTGGAAATCTGGTAAGACAGGATTAACCCATTCTTGTACTTGGATCCCATGCTCCTTTGATAGTATTTTTATAGTAGTTGTTTTCCCACATCCTGGAGGACCTGTTATTAATAAAATAGAGCCACCCTAAAACCAAATACAAACACCAATTAAAATCACAATCACTAAATGTGACACAAATTTTAAATACTTATTATTAGTACTTATTATTCCTACAGAGGTCTATTAAATACCTAATATAAACAAATTTCAAAACTAAACTTCAGATGAATTGAGATGATTGTTTTCTGAAAATTTCTTAAGTCCTATAAGGTTTATTTCTCAGAGACAACCTAACAACTAAATTAAAATAGTTAAACTATAGCTATACAAAGGGCACAGGATATGAGATGAAAAGGATTCTTAGAGGTTATTTGAATTCATAAAATTCAACTGCAGGGGCTGCAGATAGTGTTCAACTAGGAAAATGTTTGCACCCATGGGAACTGGAACTTACTCTGTAGACCAGGCTGGCCTCGAACTCACAGAGATCTGCCTGCATCTGCCTCTAGAGTGCTAGGATTAAAGGCATGAGCCACTTCCACCAGGCTCCAATTAACTTTCAAACAGATCAATTAAAATAAGAAAGCTCATGTGTAGATGATATAATATAGTTGGTGTCTAGTTTCTAAAATAGTAAGTAGAACAACATTCTAAAAATTTTGTTTCCAGTAAGTGAATCAGAAGGTAGTTTCTCACCAGAATCTCATATCAGAACAATAAGTACTTTGTCATCTGTTACACACCTTTACCATGTTTTTTTTGGGGGGAGGTGGGGGATGGTGGTTGAGATACGGTCTCCCTATGTAGTACAGGCTGGCCTCAAACTCAGAAAGATCTGGAATTAAAGGCCCATGCCACCATGCCTGGTGGCCGTCCCATATTTTGAATGAAAGATAGCATGAAAATTAAAATCTAACCAGATGGTGGTGGCACCCACCTTTAATCCCAGCACTGAGAGGCAGAGGCAGGCAGATCTCTGTGAGTTCAAGACTAGTCTGGTTCTACTAGATCTAGTTCCAGGACAGCCTCCAAAGCTACACAGAGAAACCCTACCTTGAAAAACCAAAATAAATAAATAAATAAATAAACAAAGCAAGCAAGCAAATTGGAAATGTAAGATTTTCCCCCAAAATTATTTTTATTTATATGTATGTACATGTGTATTTAAGAGTCACATGTAGCCAGGCGTTGGTGGTGCACACCTTTAATCCCAGCACTCGGGAGGCAGAAGCAGGCAGTTTCGAGGCCAGCCTGGTCTCCAGAGTGAGTGCCAGAATAGGCTCCAAAGCTACACAGAGAAACCCTGTCTCAAAAAAAAAAAAAAAAAAAAGAGTCACATGTATGCGTGCCCACAGAGGCCAAAAGAAGGCATTGGATCCTTTTGAGCTGGAGTTACAGGCAGTTTGTGAACTGTCTGAGTGCTGGGAATCAAATCTGGGTCTTCTGAAATAATAGCAAATGCTATCAACCACTAAGCAATATTGCTCCAGGCACATGGCAACTTAAGGTAATTTAAGTTTGACTACAATAAATCTAGAAATTACCAAGTTACTTTTTTAAAAAGAATGTCTTGCAATTAATAGTGCCACTGAAACTTTTATCAAACACATGTACAAGGCCTTGGTTTCAATACCCAACACCATTACAAAATACATAAAATACTTCTTCAACACTTACAGATGTATATGCATTTCCAATTTTATTCAACTAGTAGAATAATAACATTAATACTTCTATAAGCTGAAGTCATAATAGGGACGTATTAAGAATGCACTCCAGCATTTCATGGTGGTGCTCTCCTTTAATCTGAGACAGAGACAGGAAGATTTCTGAGTTCAAGTTCAGCCTGGTCTACAGAGCTAGTTCCAGGATAGCCAGGACTACACTGAGAAACCCTGTATCAAAAAATAGAGGAAAAAAGAATGTACTCTAATAACAGAATCATAAGTGAGAAAATAAAGTGGATACTGAACAATCTAAACTATTAGCTGTGGATAGATGATGACCAAAACCAAAATTTTAAAACCATTGATAAAGTGGTATATCACAGATGGTAGTTCATACCTATAATCCCAGCACTTAGAGACTGAGTTGGAAGGACTGTTGAGTTTTCAAGGCCAGTTTGAACTAATAGTGAGTCCCGGATCAGCATGAGCTACAAGGTGAGACCATGTTTCAGACTTTAAAAAAAGGAGAGGGCCCTCTAGGAAACCCTTGTACAAGCCGGACAGTGGTGGCAAATGCCTTTAATCCCAACACTTGGGAGGCACAGACAGTCGGATCTCTGTGAGTTTGAAGCCAGCCTGGTCTACTAGAGCTAGTTCCAGGACAGCCTCCAAAACCACAGAGAAACCCTGTCTCGACCCCCTCCCCCTCAAAAAAACCCTGTACATACAGTACCACACACAAAAATAAGGAGAATCTGTTCCTTTCAAAACAACTAAAACATCAACTCTTTCACTTTGAAGTTGAAAATTAAAAGAAAGCCCTAATTTAAGCAATGGATGTGGCCTGTTAAAGACAAGTCATCAATATTAGTATTAACAAACGTTCCACTTAGTGGGAAATGTTAATAGGGCACAGGCTACAGGGGAATTTCTAAGGTTTGTTATGAGCTTTTAAAAAGTCTATTTAGAAACTGGGCTGGAGAGATGGCTCAGGGGATAAAGCACTGAATTCTCTTCAAGAAGACCTGGGTTCTACTTTCTGTAACCACCTGGTATGGGTCACAACTGTCTATAACTCCAGTTCAAGAGGACTGATGTCCTCTTATGGCCTCTATTGCTACCAGGCACACATGTGATACACACATATACAATCAAGCAAAACACTCATACACATACAATATTAATAATTAAATCTTTATAAAAAAATTATAGGAGCCAGGTGTTGGTGGCACACACCTTTAATCCCAGCACTTGGGAGGCAGAGGCATGAGGATTTCTGTGAGTTCGAGGCCAGCCTGGTCTACAGAGCCAGTTTCAGGACAACCTCCAAAGTAATACAAAGAAATCCTGTCTCAAAAAACAAAAAACAAAATCATACGATTTAAGATTTTACATTTATCCTGATTTTCCAGTTGTGCCTGTATTTTAAAATGACTAAGCAGCCTTAGTGATGGAAGACTTTTCTTTTACAGAAAGCTATCTGCTAATTGTAGAAATAACAGTATTTTGAAAATAAACATCTCACATCCTTAATTAGTAATACAGGAAAGGACTGAAAATGGACTCTAAAACATGTAGGAAAAAGATCACCAAGGACCTGGGCACTCACATTCTACCAAAGTATCTCCCCAAAGATTATGTGACAGTTGAAAGAGAAAAGTACTCTATAATGAACGTGCTAGACTATTTTTTTCCTAATCTAGCAACCAAACTAAATTATCAAACACAGCAGGAAAAACTTGGTGCTATGTTCATGTCTGCGGTATAAGCACTCGGGAATCTGAGTTACTGAAATTCATAAGCCCAGGAATTCAAGCCTAGCTTGGGGAATGTAGTGAAATCCTGTTGTTGGTTATCTGATCACACTGGAAGATGTGTTGCTGTGAATGGTTTAATGAGCAGCTGAACTGCCAATAGTTCGGCAGGAGAGGTTGGGCAGGACTTCCAGGAAGAGAAAGGAACTCTAGGGAATCTAGGCACATGAGAGATGCAGACACTGAGGGAGTTGGCCATACAGAATGGAAAAGAACTAAAAAGTCACATGGCAAAATACAGATTAATAGAAATGGGTTAATTTAAGTTATAGGAGCTAGTTGGACAAGCCTAAACTAAGGCCAAGCTTTCATTAATAGTAAGTCTCCATGTCATTATTTGGGGGCTGGCAGTCCAAAGAAGTCTGACACAAAAAAAAAGCCCAACTACAAAATCCCAACTCTAACAATAACAAAAGCCTGAGGATGCAGCTCAGTGGTAGAGTACCTGCCTGGCTGATTAAGACCATGATTGATCCTACCATGGCAAAGAAAAAACAACAACAACAACAAAAAAGCAGAGCCAGCACTTGGGAGGCAGAGGCAGGTAATCTCTGAGACCTTGTGTTTTTTTAAAGTGATAGTTGGGCAGTAATGGTGCAGCATGCTTTAATCCCAGCACTCAGGAGGCAGAGGCAGGAGGATCTCTTTGAGTTCAAGGCCAGCCTGATCTACAAAGCTACACAGAGAAACCCTGTCTCTAAAAACCAAAACAAAAAACAAATTAAAAAAACACAAAAGTTTAAAGTCATGCCCAGAGCACTGAAAATAACAAAAAGTTAAGGTGAGGTATTTTGTACTACTATCTCAAAGTCTGAAATGTCATGGGTGTTTTCAGGTTTTCTTGTTTTGTTTTGTTTTGCTGAGACAGGGGTTTCTCTGTGTAGCCCTGGCTGCCCTGGAACTCAAAGATCCTCTTGCCTCTGTCTCCTGAGTGCTGGGATTAAAGGAGTGCACCACTACTGCGCTGCCTGTTGTTTTGAAAAAGGGTTTCACTATGTAGTATGGCTGGATATGTAAACCAGTCTGGCCTTGAATTCGATTCTCCTGACTCTGACTCCTGAGTGTTGGGATTAAAGTTGTGAACTAACACACCTGGCTGAAAGGATTTAAGATAAAAAGGAGGGGTATATTGTGAAGATAATGAGCTCAAACGTTGAAAAGACAGATAAAGAGGAAGAGAAAATAGTCTACCTTTTAAGGAGGGGCTAAGAATAATTGTGGAATAAGGAAGTGAAACAAAACATCAGATTAACATTATTGAGAACTAAACAGTTAGGTTTAGTTATAGTTTTTTTTTTCTTAAACCACTACTATGTAAATTGCCTGCTGCTTTTACTGTGAAATGGTGAGAGATGTGTCAAAATCGCTAGCACCTCCATTGGCTTACTATATGAACTCACCTCATCTAAGTGCTTCTACTCATTGAACCATCTTCCGGCCCCTCCAAGAGGCTTTTACAGAGGTTGGAAATAACAAATCAGGAAACTTTCGTTGACGATAATATGAAGACATATAAACAAAGTAATCAAAAAAGATTAGCTTCTTGGGGTTGGGGATGTAGTTCAATGGTAGAGCAATTGCCTATCAATCCCAAGGCCCTGGGTTTGGTCCTCAGCACCAGGGGAAAAAAAAAAGACAAAAAAAAAAAAAAAAAAAGCTTCTTGCCAGGCATGTTTATGTTTATAATCCCAGAACTTGGATGAGGCAGAGAAGACTGGGGCTACATAGGGAGTGTATCCTATGTATCCCAGCATTCTGAGGACAGAGGCAGGCAGATTTCTATTAGTTTGTAGCCAACCTGGTTAGCCAGATCTACATAGTGAGACCTTGTCTCAATAAAGAGGAAGAAAAAAAGATTAACATCTTATAAGTCAGAAAGCACATGCATTTCTTACTTAATTACCTGTTTTGGCTTCATTTCTAAGACTTCAGCTTTTAACCAGGTTTCAACCTCTTCAATTTTCTTTTTATGCACAGCAAGTTCATGCTAAGATAAAAATTTGTGGTTAAAAACATTTTAAAACATTTTAAGCTTGTGGGTACCTTTTAATATGAACATTTTAGTGAACAAAAGGTTGCAAAATGGGAGCTGAAGAGACAATGACTAATTTATTTTGTTTTTTTGTTTTGTTTTGTTTTTGTGACTGGGTCCCTGGCTTTCCTGGAACTTTGCTGTGTAGACAAGGCTGGCATTGAACTCACTAGGTCTTCCAGCCTTCTGAGTGATGGAATTAAAGTTGTAAGCTACAACAGCAAGCTAAAGAGATTCTTACAAATAAAACTCTGAAAACATCTTTGTTATATGTGCTCATCCATCCAAATGACATACACATGTCGTGTGATATCCAATGCATACCTGAGTTTCTGGTTTATATTTATCTACCCACGGCTCAATGTCAGACAGATACTCTTTTGAAGTTTCTACACCATAAGTCTGTTGTAAAGAAGACAGCTTTCCTCTTTTTCTAGCTGGCAGTCTGTTACTGTCTAATGTGGAGGGCAATTTTTTTCTTCTGTGACTGGAATTATTCAAACCTAAAGATGAAGCAGTGATAGTAGTGATGGCAGTAGTCGATGCAAAATCATCAAATGATGGATCTACCCAGTCTGTTACCTGCAAAGAAACGAAACTTTAATTACTACAATTTTTATACCTATTTTATACCTATTCCTTATATGTAACCGAACTACTTTAAAAATATGATTATAACTCTTAAACATCCTATAAATTACCTACCTACCAATTTTTGAAACAGGGTCATTCTCAGGCTGACCCATAACATAACTATGTAGTCAAGGACAGCCTTGAATTAGAGCTGCTCCTGTCTCAGCCTCCCAAATACTACTAGAATTATAGGCATGCTGTCACCACTCAGCACTTCACTTCTGCTTTCTTTCTTTCTTTCTTTCTTTCTTTCTTTCTTTCTTTCTTTCTTTTTCTTTTTGGTTTTTCAAGACAGGGTTTCTCTGTGGAGCCTAGCCCTGGCTGTTCTGGAACTCGCTCTGTAGACCAGGATGGCTTCCAAATCACAGACATCCACCTACCTTTGCCTCCCAAGTGCTAGGGAGGAAATGTATTATGCCCCATATTATAGTCTTCAGACTTTATAAAGATAAGGAATCCTAATGTTGTACCTGTTCCTTAAGGCTGTACTGTAATTTTCAATGTATGAAGCAGTCAACAGTGCTTGCTAGGAAAGGTGACATCTTTTTCACAGAAATGTTTAGAAAGAAATTCTGGAGCCCGGAGGTGGTGGCGCACGCTTTTAATCCCAGTACTCGGGAGGCAGAGGCAAGCGGATCTCTGTGAGTTTGAGACCAGCCTGGTCTATAAGAGCTAGTTCCAGGACAGCCTCCAAAGCCACAGAGAAACCCCATCTCGAAAAACCAAAAAAGAAAAGAAAAGAAATACTGGAACACCAGAACAGGAAATTCCATGCATTCTAGTCTATAGTTTCTGGTCTATAGAAACTGCCAACCTCTCCATGTTTCCTTCTATTACTTCTTTAAAAACCTTTGTAAAAGCTGGCTGGGCATTGGTGGCTCATGCCTTTAATCCCAGCACTCTGGAGGCAGAGGCAGGCAGATCTGCTGTGCCAGTTTGCTGGACAGGATCCCTGCCGAGGCTTGTAACTTAACATTAAACCTTATGTATTTGCTTTGGTGAGTCATCTCCTTAGTGGTATTTTTTGGAGTCTCACAAACTTGGCATAACCTTTAATCCCAGCACTTGAGAGGCATAGGCAGGCAGATCTTTGAGTTTGAAGCTAGCCTGGTCTACAGAGCAGTTTCCAAGACAGTCAGAAGTATTTCACAGAGAAACTCTGTCTTGAAGAAGAAGAAGAAAAATGCTGAATTGATCAATTTTAACAAAAAATAACAGTACTAAAAAGGTTTTTCAGATAACCAATTTTTTAAAAGAACATCTGTGTGTGGTAGTACAAACTTCTCAGTCCAGCATTGGGGAGATAGGAAGAAGAGTATAGCAGCCAGTTTGAGGATAGCCTCCTGTAATCTATTATAAATCTAGAAAAAAAAAAAAAATCTAACTTGTTACCAGGCTTTTGAAATTTCCTGCCTGATTAATGAGGAAGAATCAAGATTACATTTTCCTCAAGAATACTTTGCTTGGGTCAGGGACATTGTTTAGCAGTAGAATGCTCACCTGACATCACCTGGCCCTGGCTTTAGTTTTGACCCCTAACATGGAGAGGGGTAGCAACAAAGGAGGGGACTTAATTACAGTTGTGAACTCTTCGCTAGATAATATTAGTCTCAGAGATAGAGTCCAAAACTGGAGGGGGAAATAAGGCTTCTACGAAGAAATGTGGGCAGACAACTACTTTATCTGTACTAATTTAGATTTCATTCTTAGGTCAGAAGGTTAGGAATATCATCAGCAGTAGAAAAACAAAGTTGTGGAGAAAAAAAGGCAGTCATGACCAGCTGATTCATTTTTCTTTGAAAGAAATGACAATATTAGTCTAATTTTTTTCTTTCTTCTGCATTTAAAAGTGCATGAAAACAGTTTTATACTAAGCTTTCTGGTAAGAATATTGATTTGTATGTTATTTATACATTTTGTAGTTTTATTTCTTATTTCCATCTACCACAAGAAAGAAAAACAGCAAAGTTATATAATTTACTTGAAATCAGAAAAAAAAGTTGGAGCCCCCTTATGGAGATAGCTCCCAGCTCCTTTGTGTATACTATCTGGACTCCTCTCACACCCAAATTTCTATCTTGCTGAAAAAAAAAAAAAATGAACTTCATGACTTCTAAGAGGTAGAGACTGTGGTTAAGCTAACCAATTACACCCCACCCCACCCCACACACACACCCTCTGTTCTATTCAAGAGTGCTTACTCTTTGTAACTGGGATTACAAATGTTTTTTTCTTTCTTTAGATATTTTTTTTATTATGTATATAGCATTCTGCCTGCATGTATACCTGAATGTCAGAAAAGGGTACCAGATCTTATTACAGATGATTGTGAGCCACCATGTGGTTGCTGGGAATTGAACTCAGGATCTCTGGAAGAGTATCCAGTGCTCTTAAACTGCAGAGCCATCTCTCCAGCCCCCTAAAATGCTTTTTCAAAGCTGGGCATAGTGGCTGGAGCCTTTAGTCCCAGCAACTCAGATCTAAACAGTGAATTCCATGACAGCCAGGTCTATACAGAGAAACTATTTTTGGGTGGGGAAGGCTTTTTCAGAATTAAGGTTCTGGTTGTTTTGCAGCTTATTACCAGATTTTACATCACTAATTACAACAGACACTGAATCATCACTACTTCGATAAGGATAAGTCACTGAGAACAAACAAAATCTTTTGTCATTGTCTTTAGGCAATTACTACAAGGCCATTTTATGTATATCATACCTTTGTGGAAGATACCTTTGGTCTAAGGAAAGTTTCTGACATTATAAACTTTAATAGTTCCCATCAGTAGCATACAATTTGGAGTACATTAAAGTGTAATTCACCTGGGGAAAAAGAACAAAAACATCTCAAATTAGGAAAACTGTAAATACAGAATTACAGTAATTGATATTTAAATACACAATCAGTTGGGACAGTGATGGCACAAGCCTTTAATCCCAGCACTAGGAAAGCAGAGGCAGGAGGTTCTCCATGAGTTTTCGAGGCCAGCTTGGTCTACAGATTCAGTTCCAGGACAACCAGGGCTACACAGCAAAACCCTGTCTGGAAAAACAAAACAAAACAAAAACAAAAAACACCACAATCAGCCACATAATAGGAGGCTCAAAAACTAATGGAAGAAAATAGAGTAAACATGTTAAAATTCCAAAGTAAATTTTAGCTTAAATGACTACAATTTTATCTGATAATCTGGTGGTATAATAAGATTTTCACATAAACTCAATGATGAATGAAACAGAAAACCACATATTTACAAACCTAACTTTTGTAATCAAGAAAAACTAATCCCGACGGGCATTGGTGGCACACGCCTTTAATCCCAGCACTCGGGAGGCAGAGGCAGGCGGATCTCTGTGAGTTCGAGGCCAGCCTGGTCTCCAGAGCGAGTGCCATGATAGGCTCCATAGCTACACAGAGAAACCCTGTCTCGAAAAAACAAAACAAAACAAAACAAAACAAAAAAAAAAACTAATCCCATATGAGCAGTTTTCATGTTGAAATTCTTATTTCACATCAAGTTGCAAAGTACATTGGATTTCATTTTTTTCCAGGCTGTCCTGGAACTAGTTCTATAGATCCCGGTGGCCTCAAACCCACTGAGATCCGCCTGCCTCTGCCTTCCGAGTGTTGGGATTAAAAGTGGGGGCCATCACCACCAGGCTGTGGAGATACAATTTAAAGAACAAGAAAAAATACAATGGGCTGGAGAGATGGTTCAGAGGTTAAGAACATTGGCTGCTCTTCTAGAGGTCCTGAGTTCAATTCCCAGCAACCACAAGGTGGCTCACAACCATCCATAATGAGATCTGGTGCCCTCTTCTGACCTGCAGGGATACATGCAGAGAGAACACTGTATACATAATAAATAAATAAACCTAAAAACATAAAATCCTTTCTAAAGAAAAAATACAATGAAGTTAGACTCATTACTCATTTTGGATAAACCTATATTTTGGAAGGTGCACCGATCTATTTTAGAGTTGCAGACACACACAAGCCCACACGCTAAAAATCTTTCCCACCTAATAGAACAAATCCCCTTCCCTTATATAATTTCCGATTAGAGCCTTAAGTTTAAGAAGGGCACATAAAAACATCTACTTGAGAAAGTATACTTGTCGAAATAATAGATGCTCAATGATGTTACTGGTCAGCACTCTTTGAAAACAAGACTGACAATCACCTCCTTCAATAAACAGACAACTGTCTCTCTCAGATGATACCGGACTCCTGAAATACGCTGGAGATAAACGAGACCTTCAGGTCTATCCCTAGCTGGTCCCCTCCTCCTCACACACTGCACAGGGGACACTAAGCTCACACATCAGTCCTAGGTAATTCTGCAACCATCAGCGAGCAGAAGTGACACCTCACATCCCGGCTCCTCCTCACCCACATCCTACACCAGTCAATATGGGAGGGCGGGTCGCGAGGACAGCCCAGGTAGGCGTGAAGACGAAGCTGGCCTCAAGCCTCTAGGACATTAATAAACATAGCCGAAGCCGCGGCAGCCTTACTTTCAGGGAACCGCGTCCCCTCGTGGGCGGATCGAAGCGAAGAAGCCCAGGATCTACTCCCTGTGGAAGGATAACGGCCCAGCCCTCCCAGCTCCGCCGCAGGCTTCTAGGAGGGCCCGCCTCCTGGGGACCTTCCTGACCG